AAACGGATGGAGACGCCCGGGCCCAACCTGCATCGTGGCAGTGAACTCATTACCCTTTGGTAAACCAACAGAACTACGGAAAATCGCCGTTTTTTATGGGAAGATCAACTATAAATGGCCATTTTCGATAGCAATGGGCTATGTTAGTTCACTAGAGCGTAAAAGTGGCAGCCTATCATGTCATACTCCTCAGCTAGAAATTGCACCGCATCAGAAATTTAGAATCTCATGCCAAGAAATGATAACATAGACCCGGGCAAGCCGGCGGCGGAAGTTTCCCAAACATAAATAACCTATAGTTCAAAGACAACCTGTCCCGACCGTGTCCTTCCCTCGACACTCCACACCTCACACCTCACACTGCACACTGCACTCTTCGCACTCCAAACTTCACACTCCACACTTCACACTCCACACTTCTCACTTCTCACTTCTCACTGCTTCCTTCACACTCCAAACCTCACACTTCACACTTCACACTTCACACTGCACACTTCACACTTCACAGTTCACACTTCACACTTCACACTTCACAGTCCACACTTCACACTTCACACTTCACAGTCCACACTTCTCACTTCGCATTTCACACTTCACACTCCACATTTCACACTTCTCACTTCTCACTGCTTCCTTCACACTCCAAACTTCACACTTCACACTTCACACTTCTCACTGCTTCCTTCACACTCCTAACTTCACACTTCTCACTTCGCACTTCACACTCCACACTTCACACTCCACACTTCACACTTCTCACTGCTTCCTTCCCACTCCAACCTTCACACTCCAAAACTCACACTTCACACTTCTCACTTCGCACTTCGCACTCCACACTTCACTCACACTTCACACTTCACAGTCCACACTTCACACTTCTCACTGCTTCCTTCACACTCCAACCCTCACACTTCACACTTCACACTTCACGCTGCGCTCTTCGCACTCCACACTTCACAGTCCACACTTCACACTTCTCACTTCACACTTCTCACTTCTCACTGCTTCCTTCACACTCCAAACTTCGCACTTCTCACTTCGCACTTCACACTCCACACTTCACAGTCCACACTTCACACTTCTCACTTCTCACTGCATCCTTCCCACTCCAAACTTCACACTCCAAACTTCACACTTCACACTTCTCACTTCGCACTTCACACTCCCCACTTCCCTCACACTTCACACTTCACAGTCCACACTTCACACTTCTCACTGCTTCCTTCACACTCCAAACCTCACACTTCACACTTCACACTGCGCTCTTCGCACTCCAAACTTAAACTTCACACTCCACACTTCACACTTCCCACTTCCCACTGCTTCCTTCACACTGCACACTTCACACTGCACTCTTCACGCCCCACACTTCACACTGCTCTAAACCTACGTGCAACAAAAAAACACTAGCGCCCAAAATGGAGAAAATCTTCTAACAAATCCATTTCGCAGCCTTCATGCAGCCAGTCCAAGACGATGTACGAGATCCAGCTGCAAAAGACATTACGCATGCAGCCAAAGCAAGAAGCAACCTTGACGCAGCCATTCCAATGCGATCTGCGGAGACTGAGTTGCAAAACACAAGAAAACTACGCGCAACGGCGTCGGAAATTGTAGCTCCAAAACCGGATCTCGACGCCAGAGCGAAAAAAAGACGATTTTGAAGCACTTTTTAAAAGGATTTTTAGAAGGAAAATCACTATCGCCAAATCCACAAAGGATTGTTTAGAAGGAAATTTTAAAAGGATTTTACACATTGCGGAACGATCCTAGATTTGCAAAGCACATATGGATTCCAATCGCAACTCATCCACCAGCACCACTTGCAACCCCATTTACAATGCGGGAACGATCCTACAGTTGCAAATCACAATGGAATTCTGTCGACCGCACATGCACGAAAAACACTTGAACCCCCATTTACAATGCGGAACCGATCCGAGAATGATCCGACCATGATCCGACCACACACGAGACCGTCTCGCACCCGTCGCACCGCAGAGGTAGATCATCGACGTTCGGGACGGACTTTGTATGGAAAAACACAGGGTTTCGTGCATCTGCTATCTCTCAAAAACGCATTTCGTGCGAGACTTCCTTCAAAACTCCATCGGCAACTCATCCACCAGCACCACTTGCAATCCCATTTGCATTGCGGGAACGATCCTACAGTTGCAAATCACAATGGAATTCTGTCGACCGCACATGCACGAAAAACACTTGAAACCCCATTTACAATGCGGAACCGATCCGAGAATGATCCGAGCATGATCCACCCATGATCCGAGCATGATCCGACCACACACGAGACCGTCTCGCAACCGTCGCACCGCAGAGGTAGATCATCGAGGTTCGGGGACGGACTTTGTATGGAAAACATAGGGTTTCGTGCATCTGCTATCTCTCAAAAACGCATTTCATGCGAGACTTCCTTCAAAACTCCATCGGCAACTCATCCACCAGCAACACTTGCAATCCCATTTACATTGCGGGAACGATCCTAGAGTTGCAAATCACAATGGAATTCCATCGGCAACTCATCCACCAGCACCACTTGCAATCTCATTTACATTGCGGGAACGATCCTACAGTTGCAAATCACAATGGAATTCTGTCGACCGCACATGCACGAAAAACAGGTGACACCACATTTACAATGCGAAACCGATCCGAGAATGATCCGCCCATGATCTGACCACACACGCGACCGTCTCGCAACCGTCGCACCGCAGAGGTAGATCATCGAGGTTCGGGGACGGACTTGGTATGGAAAAACATAGGGTTTCGTGCATCTGCTATCTCTCAAAAACGCATTTCGTGCGAGACTTCCTTCAAAACTCCATCGGCAACTCCTCCACCAGCACCACTTGCAATCCCATTTACAGTGAGGGAACCATTTCTTTGACTAAGTCGTTCCCTAACGAACTCTTTCTTTGCTAACTCTTTCTTTGCTCTTTCTTTGACTAACTCTTTCTTTGCTAACTCTTTCTTTGACTAACTCTTTCCCTCACTAACTCTTTCTTTGACTAACTCTTTCCCTGACTAACTGTTTCTTTGCTAACTCTTTCTTTGACTAACTCTTTCCCTCACTAACTCTTTCTTTGACTAACTCTTTCCCTGACTAACTGACTAACTCTTTCTTTGACTAACTCTTTCCCTCACTAACTCTTTCTTTGACTAACTCTTTCCCTGACTAACTGTTTCTTTGACTAATTCTTTCTTTGACTAACTCTTTCTTTGACTAACTCTTTCCCTGACTAACTGTTTCTTTTTGTTTCTTTGCTAACTCTTTCCCTCACTAACTCTTTCTTTGACTAACTCTTTCCCTGACTAACTGTTTCTTTGCTAACTCTTTCCCTGACTAACTGTTTCTTTGACTAACTCTTTCTTTGACTAACTCTTTCCCTGACTAACTGTTTCTTTGCTAACTCTTTCCCTGACTAACTGTTTCTTTGCTAACTCTTTCCCTGACTAACTGTTTCTTTGACTAACTCTTTCTTTGACTAACTCTTTCCCTGACTAACTGTTTCTTTGACTAACTCTTTCCCTGACTAACTGTTTCTTTGACTAACTCTTTCTTTGACTAAGTCTTTCCCTGACTAACTCTTTCTTTGACTAACTCTTTCCCTGACATTCTAAAAGTCCGTAACACGGAAGTTTCTCCCCCTAAACTTCCTTTGATGATATACCCAAGAGGTAGTTTGCACTGCCAATTACGGCGCATATATAAAAGCGCCCATCCACAATCATCCAGTCATCTGAAGCATCCCTCACAACTCCACAACCTGAAGCCCGACCAATCAATGCATTTTCCTGGGCAAAATGACCAATGATCATTTATTGGATTTGATCACTAGATATCACTAGTCACTATTTTAAATGTCATATTGTTACGTGGCAAAACTCAAATTTATCTTGTATAGACCATGCGACAGTTTACACAATTTGGATGATTTGGGCGACACATTAGCCATGTACAATTTCTTAGTGGATGTGCTCATAATCTAAAAGATTGCATTGCTCCAATTTGAAGTACCGTAATATAATGTACACACATATATATATATATATGTAATAATTATATGGTATGCATCACGAAGTATTCAAAAAGAAAAACCTCAAAATCATGCCCAGCTGGGTTTTGCCTTTTTTCCCACAGGGTGGTCCCATCTGGCCCATCAAGGTACATTCTATCAAGTTTTAGGCATATTTCACCAGCCTGAAATCAGAATAAACAAAACCATGTTGGCACTGTCACTACCTTTCAAGTGATCTGGCGGTACGTTGTCACATGTTGTCACAACTCATCTGGCTGAATTACCCTCTGGTTATTTAACATAGCCATGGAACATGGCCCATTTATAGATGGTTTACCTATTAAAAACGGTGATTTTCCATGGCTACGTTAAATAACCAGAGGGTATAATTAACTAACCTGAAAATACATGTTCTCATGAGGCATGTGGGGATGATTCCGGTTCCTAACCATCATTCCCCGGGTGACGTCACAATGAGACCACGATTAAAATTACCCAGAGATGTCAATAAAATCCCATTATTCTTCACAATTTTTGGTTATGAGATGGTAAAACTTATAGCAACTAAGTAACTATAGTAAAAAACATATAGAAACTAAGTAACTATAGTAAAATCATAGTAAAATCATGGTAAAATCCCATGATGACCCAGAAATTCATCCAGTTCATCCAGGATGCTGTGCCAAACACTCCACGGCGCGCTCCACGTCCTCCACAGCCAGGCGCTCCCCGGGCCGTGCTCTTCGCAGGCCCTGGAGGCACTGACGAAGATCCAGCAGACCGCCGTTCTCGTCGCGCGTGCGCATGCATTGGGTCAGCACCTGGGGGCTCAGGATCCACAGTCAGGAGTAGAAAATCATAGGCAAAAATATGGGAAAAAAACCATGAAAAATCCATGAACATCATGACCATCTAGGACACCCTTTGGTAATCAATTCAACAGTCAATCACAGGATTTGTCCGATGGAATCATAGGTAATTCAATCGAATTCAATAGTCAATCCTACCTGGGACAATCTTGAATCTAAACGGCATACCCTTTGGTAAAACACACATGCGAAAACCGGGAACTATGGCCAATCAAATGGAAACACGTTGAACTCAATGAGATTTTCTGGGGATTGTCGATTGCCAAAATGCCAACGCTTTTCCAAAAATCTGGTGCTTTTTCAATTCATCTCTCTCTATCTCTCTCTCTCTCCCTCCATCGCCATCCGGTAGATTCCGCTAAGGCTGAGGGCGAGCAATTGATAAGTCAGATGGTTGCATTGGATTTATAAGATATGTATAGATAAATGCTTTCACTATCCTTCAATCTGTTTCCAAATGGGGATTTCGATAAATGTGGATCCCCATAGCTGGATGGTTTATGATGGAAAATCCAATTCAAATGGATGATTTAGGGGTATCCACATGGATTGGAAACCTCTAAATGAAACCCATTGGGAAGCACGACCCAACCGTCGACTTTAAGGGCGGCCTGGACCGACAGGTCGTTGTAGAACTGACCAACTCCCAGGAGTTCATCCCAGAGACCTTTACCTCAGTGGTTTTTCAGGCACTGGGGGTCCAGTGGCGGTGTTACCCTCTGGTTATTTAACATAGCCATGGAAAATTGCCTATTTATAGATGGTTTACCTGGGTTTACCTATTAAAAATGGTGATTTTCCATGGCTATGTTAAATAACCAGATGGTAATTCATGGCTTTCTGTGTGAGTTTCCATGCTGATCCCCTGGCTTTTTGGTTGCGTTTCTTCTTGGATGTGTTGGTGAGTTTTGAGATGTTTTGAGCTAGCAGCCACAGCAATTAAGAGGGGGTCCAGCCACGAAGGATTCAAAATCAGATGGTCCGAGAAGGACCCAGCACAAGAGGGTCCTACCCAGACCTGGGAAACTTTGGGTCTTCTGAGATACGTGACAAACCTCTGCATGATGCTTGGGACATGCTTGGGACGTGCATGGGACATGTATGGGACATGGGCATGTTGGTGCCACGCATTTGAACGATTAGGTAGTTCTGTTGTTTGCACTTCAAGCGCCTTTTGCCCAAAGGAACAAATCTATGCCATGCACCGAGCCTTTCCTTATCACCCCATGATGGCTCAAAATCATCTGCGAAGCCTGGTATGATGCCCCAATCATTGTAGCCATCCACCAACAAGGGATCATAAGGGCATTGTTTGATTCTGGTCAATCAATGTGGTCATGGCCCAGGTATGAAAGCGATCACCCCAGTTAGAACATGATTCCTTCAACAATCCTTCAATTACCTTCCGGCAATCAAACATGGCACTGGAAAATCACCCATCTATTTTGATAATTTCCCCATAGAAACACCTCCATTTGGTGGGAGTTCCCAGCCATGTTTGACTACCCTTCAGGTTGTCAATCCATCCATTTGGAGGTTTCCCAGCTTTCATGATATCCCCAAATCATCCAGTCGTCATGAATGCATGACGACTAGTACTGAAACCCATGACTTGACCCTCCTACTAAGTCCCATTAATTCCATCCATGTCCAAGCGTTCACAACCTGAGTGACTGCTGGACAAGGGGTCCACCCCAGCAGCGATACACATCTCGCAAAAGGACTTGCGGAACTGCGGGTCTGAATTGATGCCTGGAACCGTTGAAGACCCTCCGGCCATCTATGGGAACATTTACCCTCTGGCTATTTGACATTATAGCTATGGAGAAAAAAAACTATAAAAGCAGTTTTGAATGAGAAGATTATCTATAAATGAGCCATGTTTCACAGCTATGTTAAATAATGAGACGATTATCTATAAATGAGCCATGTTTCACAGCTATGTTAAATAAACAGTTTTATGAATGGGAAAACATTTGAACTAAATACTGGACTTTCCGGCAAACCATGTTTGATTACAGTAAGGGAATCGCGTTAGGGTGACACCTGAACTAGGTACCCTCTGGATCCCGTTGGTAGTTTCACACTTGGGGCAAACATATGTACCCTCATCCGACTCCACCATTTGACCTCTTCTGCCAGCTGCGCACCTCTCTCAATGGTCTCGAAGTTACTGTGAATTGCTTTAGATGATGCCCACAAAAAAAAAAAAACACAAACTGATTTTTACCAATGGGTATCATAGGTCTATAGGAAATCCGTTTTTTTTTTAGATGAATTTTAAATGAGACCCAAATGATGGATTTGCTAATGGGAACATCAAAATTCATCCACTCAGCAGATCGAGTCGAAGTTACGGTTTCGATGTCTGGAGGCAAAGTCTCGCAGTGAGCTCTGCAACGTTTGGAGTAGCTGCTTCGCATTCTGATTCTTATCTGCCTGGCCGTGACATCAGGACCACTGGGGCTGGGGATGTGTTGTTCACATTATTGACATTATTTTTATGAGTGATAGAACAGTTAATTAAGAGATGTCAGCATGAATCAGACCTTGAACAGCTTTGCAAAATAATGTGAACTGTTTCAGCGACAAAATATGTTGCAACCAAAAGTGAAAAACACATCATGATTGAATCATAATTTGTTGTCATTATATACAATACAATTGTTGCAAATAAATTAACCTGTCACATAATGCCATACAATCATCACTGACTACAAGTAGAACAAACCAACAAACCAGGTTTAGTATTGGATCTATTTATTTTGCTTGCTCATTTCAGAGAAAACACTATTAAGGAGGGACGGGAGTATGACCGTGCAATTCCCGGCCCAGCACTACTGGATCAGCTGACGTTGAATCTTCAGCTGTTAGTCACCAGTACGGTACAAATGACTTCATGAAGCATTCCAAAGAAAACAAGTTCTCGCCACAAGTATTACTGTATTACAGTATTGCCATTAGGCCTGGTTACGATATGATATATCAATTCTACTTCTCATTGAATCAACCTACAAAAATACTATAGGTAACCAGATAATAAGATATAACGATTGTGATGCAATGGTAATAAGCCTGCTATATATTTTCCAGAAATAGATGTTGTGATATTCTATAGTATACAGTACCCCTAGATATTGTTATATATACTGTGTATACATATCACATGTCATCGATATTGTATATACAACATGATATTACAATAGTGTAGACCTTTAATACACATATATATATATATATCTCTCTCTCGTTATACGTGTTATTTCATGATACTTGATGGCCCTTGAAGATCTATAGCCACTACAACATACTGCAACTATATACAACTATCTTCCAACATCAGCACAGCTCCATGGCGCAGCAACGGCCCGACCTCGATCTGTTCGCCCACCGCACTCAAGGCGCTTTGCTGTTCCTTCTCTTTGATGAGCCCAGCGATTCCCGGCTTGCGACGCATGGCCAGGATGGGATGATGGAATGTACATCAAATGATCGATGATGGAAAATACACCGCCAAATGCTAGATGCAGCATATGCATTTATTATCATTTATTGGGTACTGATTCATCTAATTTCATCTATAGATTATCGATGAAATACTGTCAGATGGACAATGGCTGATGTTGAAATCTGGAGCCAGGTTCAGCTGCGGCAGCCCCATCCGACAAGGAAATAACGCAGGATCTGATGCAGCCTGCGGTTCCTAACTGGCCTTAATTCTTCTTAGTTCATCTCAATTTATATATATTATAGTTGATCTCAATTTTTGTGATACTTCTAAACAAGTGATCAAGGATGTCTTGCCAAGGCGTCAAAGCAAACAATGATCCCCATGTCAAGGCAAGTTGCTAATGACCAGGCCGATCAACAAAGAACGCTTGGTGCCGCCAACAGCTTTGACATGTTCCATGCGCGGCTGTTTCACCTACCGGAAACACAGCAGCGAAAGCTTCTACACACCAGGAGTTTGAACGGTTGAATCAGTTGAACATGATATATACCAAGTATGGTTATCCAGTTAGTTTTCCTACCTGAGGCCCTTACAGTGGCCTTACAGTCCTTGTATCTGTATGATTCTGTATGGTTATTGTCTTATCAAGTGAGCTTAGAAATAGGTCACCTGATGTTACCTGGCACCAGGTTACAGACTGGCATGAAAATACATCGACCTGAACAGTTCTGGGTAGCGGGGGGAAGTAGTGTCCATCCACTCAACTTTGCACTCATCTTGAAAGAAAACATGGAGGGTCGTGTTATCTTTTGGGAACCTGTGGCTGCAGATGTCCTGAACTGTCCTGATTCTAAGAAATTCTACCAGGCTACCATGATCTCAGCCAGAAATCAGTTTGTTTCTACTGGGAAATCACTGTTTGGTTGATGTCTTTCCAGGAATTCCACATCATTCCCGCCTGCGCCACCATGTACTCGGCTGGCTTCATGCTTAATCTATTCAGTTCCTCAGTGGGATCAGATGATCAAGGATTCCAAACTGGACCAAGACGATCCAAGACATCTCAAGAAATATGGAGTGGGTCAAAACGGATTTACCTTGCTACCGAAGATTGCAGTAGCAAATCAAAGAGTACCATTTTGCGGTTTAACATGTTTAAGGGGGGTTTATGATTGGTTTATGATTGGTTCAAAAGAGCGCCTGAAAGGTGATGCTGACCATGAACGGCACACACCTTCTCCAACTAACAGCTCGACCCCCATGAGTCCCTGGTCTCAGGGTCTATCCTATTACCATAAATGGTCCTAAAAATGTCTATGAATCCCCTAGGCAACCATGATTATCATTTATAATTATCATGATTTCAGGCTGTTTCATATAGGGGCTATAGGAACCAAGAACAACCTGGAAGCTCAACGAGCAAGTTGCGACATTGAGTCGCTTATCGTTGCAGTAGGTATAGAGGCCATCTGCCTGGTGAGTCTCTGAGTCGATCACAATTGGCAGCGGAAATCAACAAAAAAACGCATACACACACCCATTGTGCGTATATAAATACGCAAATATATGTGATAATATGATATAATATGCATATAATTACATGTATATATCCGCCGACCCCGGCAGACGCAAGGGGGAGTGCGTAAGGGAAAAAGAGTTTATGACACAGCTGCCAGGAAAGAATAATAATAATTCGCTGACCCCGGCCGATGCAAGGGGGAGCGCGTAAGGGAAGAAGAGGTGCTGCACTGCTACTTTTACTACCAGGCAGCAGCAGGCAGCAGCAGGCAGCAGGCAGCAGGCAGCAGCCAGCAGCAGCCAGCAGCAGCCCGCACCAGCCAGCAGCAGCCAGCAGCAGGCAGCAGTAGGTGTTTGGCAGGCAGCATCCGGCAGCAGCAACCAGCAGCAGCTGGCGTTAGGCAGCCAGCAGCAGCCAGCAGCAGCTAGCAGCAGCCAGCAACAGCCAGCAGCAGGCAGGAGCAGGCAGCAGCCAGCAGCAGGCAGGAGCAGCAGGTAGCAGCAGGCAGCCAGCAGCAGGCAGCAGTAGGTGTCTGGCAGGCAGCATCCGGCAGCAGCAACCAGCAGCAGCCGGCGTTAGGCAGCCAGCAGCAGCCAGCAGCAGCCAGCAGCAGCCAGCAACAGCCAGCAGCAGGCAGGAGCAGGCAGCAGCCAGCAGCAGGCAGGAGCAGCAGGCAGCAGCAGGCAGCAGGCAGCAGGATTCTATTTTAATTTTATTTTATGGCAGCAACAGCAAGAGCAACAGCAACAGCAACAACAACAACAACAACAACATTCTTGCAGCCATGGAAACAATAACACAAAGCTGCAGCAGCAGCAGCAGCAGCAGTTGTTTCTTGCTTTGGAAGCTGTTTGATTGCAGCAGCACGACAGCAGCACCACAGCAGCAGCAGCCACCAGCAGCAGCACTAGCAGCAGGCAGCAGGCACTAATGGGTGTCAAGAACGTGGGCAAGAGCACGCAAAAGGTGCACATAGCCAGTAGCTAGCAGCCAGCGCCAGTAGCAGCCACAGCAGCCTACCAAAAATCTAGATTTTTCTAGGATTTCAGACGACACGTTAGGCACTTTTTTGGCGTGGTTCTGGCACTCGCTCGTCCTTCAGAGCCCTGGTGTTTTCCCCCCGGGAGGTGATTTTTTCGAACCTGTTTTACTGCTAGCAGCCACCAGCAACAGAATCTGTCGAAAAATTGTGTTTTTCTAGGATGTCAGACGACACGTTAGGCACTTCTATATATCTTGTATATATGTCTATAGGGTTTCAGACGTCACGTTTTGCAATTTTCTCATTTATATGGCACCAATGGGTGTCAAGAACATGGGCAAGAGCACGCAAAAAGGCAGCAGCAGCAGCAGCAGAAGTAGCAGCAGCAGCAGTTGTTTCTTGCTTTGGAAGCTGTTTGATTGCAGCAGCACGACAGCAGCACCACAGCAGCAGCAGCCACCAGCAGCAGCACCAGCAGCAGGCAGCAGGCCGCCGCAGGCAGCCGCAGGCAGCAGCAAGCATCAGTAGGCAGCAGCAGACACAAGCAGACGCAGCAGCAGTAAGCGCAACGGCAGCAGTGCAGCAGCTAGCAGCACGAAAAATTGTGTTTTTCTAGGATGGCAATGGCACCAATGGGTGTCAAGAACGTGGGCAAGAGCACGCAAAAGGTGCACATAGCCAGTAGCTAGCAGCCAGCGCCAGTAGCAGCCAGCAGCCAGTAGCCAGCAGCCTACCAAAAATCTAGCTTTTTCTAGGATTTCAGACGACACGTTAGGCACTTTTTTGGCGTGGTTCTGGCACTCGCTCGTCCTTCAGAGCCCTGGTGCTTTCCCCCCCGGGAGGTGATTTTTTCGAACCTGTTTTACTGCTAGCAGCCGCCAGCAACAGAATCTATCGAAAAATTGTGTTTTTCTAGGGTGTCAGACGACACGTTAGGCACTTCTATATATATTGTATATATTTCTATAGGGTTTCAAACGTGACGTTTGGCAGTTTTCTCGTTTATATAGCACCAATGGGTGTCAAGAACGTGGGCAAGAGCACGCAAAAGGTGCACATAGCCAGTAGCTAGCAGCCAGCGCCAGTAGCAGCCAACAGCCAGTAGCCAGCAGCCTACCCAAAATCTAGCTTTTTCTAGGATTTCAGACGACACGTTAGGCACTTTTTTGGCGTGGTTCTGGCACTCGCTCGTCCTTCAGAGCCCTGGTGTTTTCCCCCCGGGAGGTGATTTTTTCGAAACTGTTTTACTGCTAGCAGCCTCCAGCAGCAGAATCTGTCGAAAAATTGTGTTTTTCTAGGATGTCAGACGACACGTTAGGCACTTCTATATATCTTGTATATATTTCTATATGGTTTCAGACGTCACGTTTGGCAATTTTCTCATTTATATGGCACCAATGGGTGTCAAGAACATCGGCAAGAGCACGCAAAAGGGCAGCAGCAGCAGCAGCAGCAGCAGCAGTTGTTTCTTGCTTTGGAAGCTCTTTGATTGCAGCAGCACGACAGCAGCACCACAGCAGCAGCAGCTACCAGCAGCAGGCAGCAGGCCGCCGCAGGCAGCAGCAGGCATCAGTAGGCAGCAGCAGACACAAGCAGACGCAGCAGCAGTAAGCGCAACGGCAGCAGCAAGATTCTATTTTAATTTTATTTTATAGCAGCAACAGCAACAGCAACAGCAACAACAACAACAACAACAACAACAACAACAACATTCTTGCAGCCATGGAACCAATAACACAAAGCTGCAGCAGCAGCAGCAGCAGCAGCTTCTGGCTTTGGAAGCTGTTTGATTGCAGCAGCACGACAGCAGCACCACAGCAGCAGCAGCCACCAGCAGCAGCACCAGCAGCAGGCAGCAGGTGTTTCGAAAAGGGTGTCTGGCTGTTTGTTTCTTGCTTTGGAGGCTGTTTGATTGCAGCAGCACCACAGCAGCAGCAGCAGCCACCAGCAGCAGCAGCAGCAGCAGCAGCAGCACCAGCAGCAGGCAGCAGCAAGGAGCAGCAGGCCAGGTAGCAGCAGGCAGCAGCAGGCAGCAGCAGGTAGCAGCAGGCAGCAGCAGACACCAGCAGAGGCAGCAGCAGGCAGCAGCAAGCAGCAGCAGGCAGCGGCAGGCAGCGGCAAAGTTGCAATTTTATAGTAAGGTTTCAGAAGTGACGTTAGGCCCTTTTTTGGGGTTTCTTTGCTACGTTTTGGGCACGAAATTAGGTGGTGTTTTGCTGTTTCGGATGTGTTTCGAAAAGGGTGTCTGGCTGTTTGTTTCTTGCTTTGGAGGCTGTTTGATTGCAGCAGCACCACAGCAACACCACAGCAGCAGCAGCAGCAGCCACCAGCAGCAGCACCAGCAGCAGGCAGCAGCAGGGAGCAGCAGGCAGGCAGCCGCAGGTAGCAGCAGGCAGCAGCAGGTAGCAGCAGGCAGCAGCAGGCAGCAGCAGGCAGCAGCAGGCAGCAGCAGGCAGCAGCAGGCAGCAGCAGGCAGCAGCAGGCAGGCAGCCGCAGGCAGCCGCA